TTAGAAAAAGTTATTTATTGACGTTCTTTCCCGAAGTAAATTGGACTGTTATTAAACTTAAAAAGCTTCAATTTATCTGAATGAATACAATAGCAATTTAAACTAAAGTAAATTTTACGTATGATTGATATCTTACGAAAATGTTTTTTTCATCAATCTTTTTTAACGGAATTTTTAATTTATTGGTTTCAGTGAGTGCATCTTTAAGTTTTTATGTAAGAAAAATTATACTCTAATCAACGTTTATTCATCTAAATAATGAGCTATTCATCAAAAAATGGCTTGATTGTAAATTAAATATTTTTTCTGTGGTATTCAAAAGATAATTAGCTTCGATGGTTCGGCATTAACGGATATAAAAATTGTCTTCACTCATGTATATTTATATGTTACCTAGCTGGCTAAACGACTCGACCGAATGGGCTTAAATTTTTTGAGGAAACCCATGAGACCAGGGGAGTAACTTAAATTCACAAGTTTTTTTTATGAAATTTTGTTTTCCAAAGTAAAAACTGATTCCCCACGGGTAACGCCAGGGACTTCAGCTACTATTTCTTAAATTTACATTTTATTATTTCATAAACTTTAAACTTAATACTTCAAGCACTATTTTCTGCATGCTAATTTTGTTATTAGCTAGATGTACAATCTTTTGTATTTTTCTTCTATGCCGAAAAATATCTCAAAGCTTTGCAGATGAACTGACAGATATTTTTTCAAATGTCCAGTTCAAATTTGTTTTTAACAATTTGACTGATCTGATATAGCTTAGTTTTATTATTCTAACAATATCAGAGAAACAGTACATTTGGCGTTGAAAAAAAATTGAAATAAATCTTCTTTTTTCCTAACAAGATAAGGCCTTGGTTTTACTAACAAAATTAGGAATTGAAAATACAGTGGTTTTCATAACAAGATACATATTCGAGATACAGTGGTTTTCCTTACAAAATTAGAGCTTAAAGACACAGGGGATTTCTAACAAGATTAGTTCATGGTGATACAGTGTTTTCCTAACAAAATTAGGACTTGGATATACAGTGGTGTTACAAACAAGATTACAACTTGAACTTACAGTGTTTTCCCAACAAGATTACAACTTGGAGAAACAGTTTTTTCCTAACAAGATTAGAACTTAGAGATACAGTGGTTTTCTTAAGAAGATTAGGACTTTGAGGTAGAGTGGTTTTCCTAAAAAAATAAGAACTTAAGGACACAGTGTTTTTCTAGCAATATTAGCTCTTGGAGTTGGAGATACTGTGGTTTATCTAACAAAATTAGAACTTAGAGATCCAGTGGCTTTCCTAACAAGATTAGACCTTGGAGATACAGGGGTTTTCAAACAAGATTAGTTCTTTAAGATAAAGTGTTCTTCCGAACAAGATTAGAACTTAAAGACACAGGGGATTTCTTGCAAGATTAGTTATGGCAGATACAGTGGTTTTCCTAACAATATTAGTTCTTGAAGATACAGTGGTTTTCCTAACAAGATTTGAACTTGGTTTTGTCAGTGGTTTTACTAACAAGATTAAGTCTTGGAGATACAGTGGTTGTCATACAAGATTAGTTCTTGGAGATATGTTTTCCTAACAAGATTAGAATTGAAGATAAATTGGTGGGCCTAACAAGATTATAACTTGAAGATTCAATGACTAAAAAGATTGGGACTTAATGATACAGTATTTTCCTAACAAGATTAGTTCTTATAGATACAGGGGTTTTCCTAACAAAATAAGAACTTAAGGATACGGTGGTTCTCCGAACAGTATTAGACCTTTTCTAACAAGATAAGAACTTGGAGATATAGTGGTTTTCCTAAAAATATTAGAAATCAAAGATGCAGTGGTTTTCCTAACAAGATAAGAACTTGGAGATATAGTGGTTTTCCTAAAAAGATTAAAAATCAAAGATTCAGTGGTTTTCCTAAAAAGATTAGAACTTGAAATAAAGTGGTTTTCCTAACAAGATTAGAACTTAAAGATACAATGGGTTTTCTAACAAGATTAGTTCTTGGAAATACAGTGGTTTTCCTAATAAGATTAGTTCTCGAAGATGCAGCGGTTTCCCTAAAAAGATTAGAACTTGGAGAAACAGTGTTTTTTTTTAACAAGATTAAGTCTTAGCAAGGTTATATAGATATAGATATAGTGGTTTTCCTAACAAGATTATATAAACTCGTAGATATAGTGGTTTTCCTAACAAGATTATATAAACTCGTAGATATAGTGGTTTTCCTAACAAGATTACGACTTGGATGCTAGTCTGTGTCCATTTAATTTTTTGTGCTACAAAGTTTTTTATCTAACTCAATATCTGATCTAATACGTCCTTTTTTCCTTTTCACCCTCATAGAATCCAGAAACTTTCTAAGTATTTAGGATTGAGGGATTTAGGATTTGGACGACATTTCCAACAATTTTTCAGATAAAATGCCGCGAAAAGTTATCTACTACCGACAAAGTGCTCTGACAAGGTTAAATCGTCTAGGAAAGAGTAAAATTATTTTACATTAGAAACAGTTTTAGAAAGTTTCGTGACATTGTCGGTTGGAAGATATACAACTATTCACTCAATAGCTATAAAAAGGGGAGAGAGAATTCCCAATCCAAATTTACTTTGAAACTATTAATTATGAAGTTTTTTGAATCTCCATAGTTGGATTCTTTCTAGAGGGGTGGGGGGAGGGAGGTCACCAGGTTTTTTTGTTGAAAATGCAAACTTTCAAACTCAAAATAATAGATCCGAAGCTTATCACTTCCCCCTAGTTCCTCCAAAACTGTTTAATTTGGTTGTGTTGAAAAATAATAAATATAAAACATTTCTATATGCGTATTTTATCTTAATGTCGTCCTTGTTTTCCTTCTGATTAAGAAATGTGGCTCAGGGTTTTTAAATTCACAATGTTGTATCTGACATACATCAAAACATAATTAAGTGCACTGCTTGTTAGAAAAAGTTATTTATTGACGTTCTTTCCCGAAGTAAATTGGACTGTTATTAAACTTAAAAAGCTTCAATTTATCTGAATGAATACAATAGCAATTTAAACTAAAGTAAATTTTACGTATGATTGATATCTTACGAAAATGTTTTTTTCATCAATCTTTTTTAACGGAATTTTTAATTTATTGGTTTCAGTGAGTGCATCTTTAAGTTTTTATGTAAGAAAAATTATACTCTAATCAACGTTTATTCATCTAAATAATGAGCTATTCATCAAAAAATGGCTTGATTGTAAATTAAATATTTTTTCTGTGGTATTCAAAAGATAATTAGCTTCGATGGTTCGGCATTAACGGATATAAAAATTGTCTTCACTCATGTATATTTATATGTTACCTAGCTGGCTAAACGACTCGACCGAATGGGCTTAAATTTTTTGAGGAAACCCATGAGACCAGGGGAGTAACTTAAATTCACAAGTTTTTTTTATGAAATTTTGTTTTCCAAAGTAAAAACTGATTCCCCACGGGTAACGCCAGGGACTTCAGCTACTATTTCTTAAATTTACATTTTATTATTTCATAAACTTTAAACTTAATACTTCAAGCACTATTTTCTGCATGCTAATTTTGTTATTAGCTAGATGTACAATCTTTTGTATTTTTCTTCTATGCCGAAAAATATCTCAAAGCTTTGCAGATGAACTGACAGATATTTTTTCAAATGTCCAGTTCAAATTTGTTTTTAACAATTTGACTGATCTGATATAGCTTAGTTTTATTATTCTAACAATATCAGAGAAACAGTACATTTGGCGTTGAAAAAAAATTGAAATAAATCTTCTTTTAAATTAATTCCATTAACACTGTGAAAGGATTTCTTTCTTAAAGAAAACTAGATTAAGTGCAATTCTTTGTATGAATGTTGAAAAACTGCAGGGTATCAAGTAATTGAGAGAGAAAACAGCATGAAGAAGAAATGAAAGATGTTGTAAAGTTGTACCGGAGCTTCAGTAGGAAGATTCGGCATAAAACATTTCATGCTTTTCCGTAAAGTATTACAAGAAATAAAATTTTCATGTTTTATTTTATACCATGTGACAGTAATTTAAAATCAAATCATATGTAACACAAGCTGGTAGCATATTGAATCTTCAATGTTTGTTAATGCAAATATAAACAATTCTCAAAAAATGAGGTTTCTTAAAGGGGAAGGTGCCGAAGGATTCGTTTTGATGATTAGAAGAAGCAATTTACTCTTGAATTGATCTAAATATAATTTTACTAACTATTTGCCAGCTACCTCTGCCCGTGAAGGTGACTTGGATACCGTTAAAGAACTGTTAGAGCTCGGTGCAGGGATACCAGAGGAGAACTTCATAACAATTATTTATATAAAAAAAATTTTAAAAACTATAATTATTTAAAGATTTTCACATCTTAAACTAGTGAAATAATTTTATTTTGTAAAAATACACAGCAACACTAACTGTATTCTGCTGTGTTGAGTAGATAATAGATATAGAAAGGTGTGTTGCAAGGTTCAGTTTGAAGTTCTTCTCTATTCCGAATGACTAGGTCCAGACACTCCAGGAGAATATGAACTAACTGCGCTCCACCTTGCATCTCTTCATGGGCATATTGATGTTGTTCACCTATTATTGCAGTACGGCGCTAATCCTAATGTTACAGATGCCTGGGGGTAAGTAAACACAACCAACTCTTTAAAATGGAATAGAGTTTTTGACACAAACTTAGATTTTCTTATCCCTATATCTTTGCAAGCTAAAAGTAAAAGCCTTTGACATTTTAAGCTTAGATTATTTGATCTAGCAGAATCCATAGTTTGAAATATCAAAGGGCTTCGACATTGGGTGGTAACGATATCGGGATTTAAGAATTAGGGTTTGTGGCAAAAACTCATTACCGTTATTGGTTTTAAACAAATTTTTATTTACATTATTTACATTACCTTACGGAAGGGTTTTCGGGTCAGAATAAAAAATCGATTTATCAAAATCCGCGAAAAAAATAAATAAATCCGCTAAATATTTTTGCTTTTTATGTGCTTGCAGGTGTTCCCCAATGCAAAATGCTAGTGGAAAAGGATTTCTGGAGATTGTCAAGTAATCATTGTTAATATTTCAGATTATTTATGGAGAAGAAAACAATAATAATTTTGTTCAGGGTTTTAGTTGACTCTGGGGGCGATATCAACCATAGGTTTTTCTTCATTTATCAATATACATTTATGAACCAATACTTTTTAAAATAAAATACGAAATTATTAAGTTTTCTTGCAAATACTGATTTTTATTCATAATCTCTAGTACATGGCCACAAGTCTGTACATCCTTGTAAGTTGTAATATTTGCCTTTTGCCTTTCTTTCATTCCTAGACTTTCTTACTTCTTGCTGATTATACAATCTTTCGGTGCTTTTTAAAAAAGCACTATTTTCGTGCCACTTGAAATAGTTGAATTCTTTAAATCAACTATGCATAGATATTACAGAATAAGTAAAAAAGCTGGATTATCGATGTTTTGAGCAAAATTTAAAAAAAAATTTAGTTTGCTTCATATTTTGAGCTTAAAAAACAAAATGTGAGAAGAAATTCACGCTTATTTTTGGAACACTTAAAAATAATTCCGCGAAAACACTTTTTTTTGGAAAAAAATAAATTGTTGGGAAAATGATTTTTTTACCAAAATTACAAAAATTTTATCAAAAATCCAAATAAAAATCTGCAGTAAATGTTATCAAATAATACCTTATAGAACTGTTATGACTTTAAAAATCTCATTATCTCTTTTAATTTTTGATGAAATTTGGAGAACATAAATAGAATTAATATTTACTTAATTTATATAATGGTCAAATATTCATAGTTTTAGGTGCTTTGTCAAATAAAAACAAAGTAAGATTTAAATCTGACATGTTTTTTTTATCGAAGAGCTTTCAGGAGGAAAAAAATGTTTTGAGTTTTAAATATGCAACTCTGAATTTTGTTTTTTCTCATGCTTGTGTATAGCATCAAAGCTTGAGGAACTAAAAGGTCCCAAAGTCGCACCATTAATGTCGAAATAAATTTGACTTTCTCCTTCTGTCCAGTTCTCAGTTTCATAACATATTGTCATAATTATAATAGTTTATCACTAACATGCACCTAGGGATAGGTCGTGTTCATTTTTTTAAAAACGATCTTTTCGTTATGAAAAAGACGATGAAAAAAGGATCGATTTTAGAAAGATCGTTTTTTAATGGAAATCATTTTCAAAACAAAGAAAGTTATTCGTTTTTTTTAACGATCATTAACGACAAACCTTCGTTAACGATCGTTAACGAAGAGAGGAGGAGAGAGGAAGCCAACCTAAAGGGCATCGGTACTTATCATCTAGTAGTCTTCAAGAAAATGTCAAGAAGTTTTAGCTCCCCCACAACTTTTTCTTGTATGTAAGACAACGACAACCCTTCGTTAATGATCTTTAACGACGATCCTTCGACGACGACCCTTCGTTAACGATCGTCTTGTAAAAAAACAATTGTATAAAAATCGGTCGCTTAACCTTTTATTAAAAAACAATCGTTTTCAAAAACGATCTTTATTCGTTCAAAACTAGTGGGTCGTTTTTAAAAACTTTTTTTTCCAAAAACGAAACGATCGTTTTTGAAAACGATTGAAAAACGAATCAAAAAACGATTAACAACCTTACATGCACCCCTATTGAAACACTGATATTCCCTTTCAACCCAAAACAAGAAATACTTTTTTCTACTTTTTTGTCAAATTAATTGCATTAGATCTATTCGCAGTTCTTATCCTAAGTATATACAGGGTGAGTAAAAAAAGCGTAATTTTGTGAAGTTTTGTGCAAAATAAAGTTTTTGTGCAAATGTCAGTTTTGGTATGGCGGGCGTTAAGCGCTTAGTTATAATCAAAAATTTTCTATTCTTCACGTTTAATTTTAACGGAATAAAATTTCACGTTTTTTCGTACTTTAATTTATTGCAAATTGCAAACAAATAGGGTTGAAGAAAGCGACGCTGATCTCAAATTTTTTTCATTCACTCTGTATCATGGTTTATAGAACTTCATTAAGAACTAAGAATTTTGTAAAGGGCTGTAATCAAATCATTTAATATTATTGGTCCATTTCTTGTAAAGTTAGTTGCACATATATATTCATCATCACACGAATTGTACTATCTGTACTCTGAGATTATATAGTACAAAAATGAAATAATAATTGTTATAACTACATAAAGAAATAGTTTTGAGGGACTAACAAAAAATACAAAAAAAATCTATCATCTAGATATATATACTTTGCTTGTCAGTCTGTTTATCTGTCATCTGGTTGTCTATTTTTAGTACAACTCAAAGGTTTACAGAGGGTCAAAATAGAAAAATTTAGCCAGAAAAAATGTTTTTACATAAAAATATGCGAGATATTACGAGTTTTACAGTTATTAAGAAAAATGGTGACTAGAAAAGCATCAAATAAGCGCTAAAAGTGCAACTAGAAGAGGGACGCGGAGCGCCCTACATAACTTTAATAATATAGATTTACCTGTAGTAATCCCCCATCAAACTGTGGAATTGGAAGACGACGTTATGACAATTTTTCAGCAAATTAAAAATAAAATTATTAAGTGGACACACAATTACCACGGGCAGCCGTAGTACATTTGAATATCCGAGCGGGGTCAACCTTTCCGGTCCCAGTTTGTACTGAATCGACAAGGACATAGGGTAAATCGATAGACTAGCCGGTGCAACAAGGTTGACGCGGTCAGACTTTAGGCTGAATTTACTTTTGCTTAAAGGTCAGAGGTGCGTGTTACTGATATGCCTTATGTGTCTAATGTTCGTTGAACTATTTGAAAAGATAATAGTCTAAAACTCGTTCTTTGTCTTTCATATCTTTACGGGGTCAACAGTAAACATTATAATAATGTTCTGTCTTTTCTTTTCATCTCTTGGTTATAAGAATTTTTTTGGTGATCATCAGAATTAAAAATAACGTTTTAAAATACCTAAAATACCTTAAAATGGATCATTTGCGATAATAGTCTTTACTAGCTGAAGGGCCCGGCGTTGCCCATGTAAAAAAATTTGAATTTTTTTATATATTAAAAAAAAGTTGAAATAAAAATATTTCCATCTTTTAGCCTATAGCACCCCCCAGCCACCTATGAGTGTTTCAGCCCAAATCGGTCCAGCTGTTTGGCCTGCTGTTTGGCCAGCTGTTTGGCCAGCTGTTTGGCCTGCTTTAGGCAACATATATATGAATGTCTTGTTATATTATAGATTAATCAAGAAACAATTGAAATGAAAAATATGTTAGATAAGTAACAAAGATTTTTAATTTTGCAGAATAGTTGGATCCAAGTCCTCTTGTTTAATGATATTTACTTATTTTTTATTGGATCAGATTTGTATGATATTTTGTTCTGATTAAAAAAATGAAGATGTCTCTAGAGCAGAAAAGGGAAAAACAGCTTTAGGAAACTCCTTTTGGATATATATTATACGAAATGATAATAATAATAATAATATGACATTCCCCGGCCACCCATGAGTGTCCACAAAAAATTTCAGCCCAATTGGTCCATCCGTTTGGCCGGCTATACGCAACATGTATACGAATGTATTGTTTTATAAACTAAATAATAATAAATATTTCAAGGTTATCCTTGTGAACTAGACATGTCTATCTCTATCCATGGAATGGACTTAAAATTACGTCAACAGAGCATCTTTCAGCGGAAAAAAGATTGATATATTTCCACATCAATTCTTATTTTTATTGGAACTCTCCGTATTATATAATTTTCCTAATAATACATATATTTACATATTTACAATAAATATCCTCTGATATATGATAATATGCAGTGATATTTACTGTTATATTAATTTAAGAATATTGATGGAGAAAACTTTGAGATTTTTCACTTTTCATACTCTATAACCCAGAACTTAAGAGATTAGAAATAATTGATAAAATGTCGTCTTGACCACTCTTATTTACACGCTCATACCTAAATCTTTTTGATTGATCAATTAAACAAATAGCCATTAAATAGGCAGAAACAGTTTTATAGAGCTTAATATGATTATTTAATTGAAAAACTAAATATCTGCAGCTTTCTATTTCAAGGGATATATCAGTTATAGGTTCAGAAGATGACATTTTATAAATTCGTTTGATCTCTCCAAAGGTCGGGGATTAATTGTAAAATCCTGCAAAGAATGTTGTTGAAAAGATATGGCTAAAGATCGTGGAAACTGGGAAGTTGTCAGATATCTTCAACAAGTCTTACAATTAAGGTGACATTCAGACATTAAATTCACGTTAAAGGGAGTGTTCGCAAAAAATGAAAGGGGGTATAGGCTTACGTCGGAAAATATTTGATGGTGATTGCTATTAATCTTACTTCCATCTCAAAATCATCCTTCAAAACCAATGAGGATTTTAAAATTGAATATGCGCTGTTTCTGAACAAATATGCACCGTTAAAACATCTGATAGGTCTGCAAAGGAATCCTAAATAATTTCCCACTGCAATCTCAGTTCAACTCCCATACATTGCCGGTCACTCCCTTTAATGGTAGATTTCCAATTTTCTAGCTATGTACACTACAGGCTTTTGATATTTATGCGTCATGTGTAAAAGACCTCAGCATACAGTTTTAAATTATGAACCGATCCGGTTTACTTACATGATCCCGGCCCAGGAAGTTTATATAAGTGATCGAAGTTCGAAAGTTCTGCCCAGAAAAAATGCCTAAATTTATCAATTTCAAAAAAGCTCTAATTCAAACAGAAACTTTCACAAACAAAGTTAAAAAAAGTTAATTAAAAATTCCACTTAGAACTAGAGAACCGTTAGTTACAGTGAAGAACGAATAGTTCCTCGATAAGGCTATTTGTTTCCCAGGTTGAAATAGTTCCAACGGTCCTATAACACTACCTTGCAGTGCACGGTGGACTAAGCTAGTGGGGTCGGTCAAATAGGCCTTGGATTAGGCCGGGTACTGTAAAAAGTCTGAACGCGCCATGGGAGTTGTTACTGTTAGCCCTCTGACGGGACTATGCCAAGAAAATTGACCCCTGTCGTATGTTAGTCTGGTTAGGGCGACGTACTGTACAGAATATGGAACCGGGCTACCATAGGATCGGGTCAGTACACGCTGTTATCTGGCAGGCCGGTACAAACTGGGCAGGTCCTGTTCGAATTCAAATTTACTACTGCCCAGAGTGAGTGGTATTGTGGGGATGGAGGTTGAATATAAAGTAAACAGGAAACAACGCAAATTACTAAAAATTTTAATTAGTAAACTAAAACTTCTTTGTTCAACTTTAGATTACCCTGGTCCCTCCCTGAGAGCCAGACAATTAAAACTTTAAAAATTTGAAATATTAAATTTGTTGGAAAGTTTATCAAATTTATAGAAAAGTTCTTAAAGGGAAGTACTTTATCTTTGGAAATATACGTTTGTATAGGTTGATACAGTCATACTCAGAAATTTCCGGAATTCCATATTTGTATAGGCTACATAAGATTAAATGATTTTTTGGTCAGATGCCTATTTGATCTATTCAAAGATTTATAGATCAATTGATTGGTTGACAATAAATTGATAATTGATTGATTGAATTCTTAATTTCTAGGTTTAAACCAGGATCACAGCATTATGGCAGGAATTCGGAACAAGAGAGTACGTTTTAAAAATCATTTTTAATTTAAAAAATCTCTTGAGTAACTTATTTTAAAAAGTTTTTTTGTAACTAGTTTTAATGGATAGAAGGTGCTCCAGCTCAAAAGACATGAATCTTTCTTTTTCTGAAGTTTAATTTCTTAAACGGATTCTTAAAAAAAAGTAATGAATTTAAATCTGTTATCTGATATTTCATAAGAACTGTTTTCTGGTTATAATTGTTTTCTGGTTATAACTATTTTCTGGATATCACTGTTTTCTGGTTATAACTGTTTTCTGGGTATAACTTTTTTCTGGTTACAACTGTTTTCTGGTTATCAATGTTTTCTGGTTTTTAACTTTTTTCTGGTTACAGCTGTTTTCTGGTTATTACTATTTTCTGGTTGTATGTATGTATATATATATTAATTTATAATAATGATAATGATGATTTCGTAGTTTTTAACAGTCAGCAATTTAAAAATTACTTTTTTAAAAATGTAAAATTTTAATATTTTAGGAAATGATCGACCGTTAAACAGTGTCCCTGAGGAGTCAGGGAACATTTCTTTTAAAATGAAAACAGAATTAACTAAACTACACTAAACTAGACTAGACTAAACTAGACTAAACTAAGCTAGACTAAACTAAACTAAACTAAACTAAACTAAATTAAACTAAACTAAACTAAACTAAACTAAACTAAACTAAACTAAACTAAACTAAACTAAACTAAACTAAACTAAACTAGATTAAACTAAACTAAACTAAACTAAACTAAACTAAACTAAACTAAACCAAACCAAACCAAACCAAACCAAACCAAACCAAACCAAACCAAACCGAACCGAACCTATGCGAACCGATCCGAACCAAACCAAACCGAATCGAACCGAACCGAACTGAACTGAACTGAAATAAACTGAACTGAATTGAACTGAACTGAAGGAAAGAAAACCAAACCAAACCCAACTAGAAAAGAAACAAAGCCAAACCAAATTAATCCAATTTCAATCACGGCCCGGCCTAATCAAACCTAGATCACCTACCCCAAATAAATTATGCGCAGACCAACCAATTAAACCTAAATGTTAAAATATCAAACACAGTGATGAAACATTAATCCAATCAAACGATTTACTGCTTATTGTTTATTGTTTAAAATGTTAAAGGTGTATTTATATTGTATATAGGTTTAAATTAACTTAGGATCAGAAAATTAAAATTTGAGGCCAGTGTTTTGTTTCTTTTATTTACAAACTCAACGAATGTTAGGATTTTTAATAACAGATTTTGTCTGGTATAGATTCGTATAATGCTGATCATCAGACGACTGATAACATCAATACGCAGAAATATCACACAGCTGATAGGGTCCAAGTTCAAGAGAAATATCAGACAGCTGATAGGGTTCAAGAGAGGGGTAATTTTTAGACCATAGAATATTAATAAACTATAAAAAATCTTCTCATAAAGAGAAAAGTTTAACTTTTTCTGTCTGATAAAAAGTTGTTTTTGCATGGACAAAGGAATTGAGTCTTTACCACAAACTTGAATTGTCCAATACCTTTATTTTTGGAACCAGATGGTGTAAGCCTTAGATATTGCAAACTTAGATTATTTTATCTATCAGAATTAATAGTTTGAAATATCTAAGGTCTCCGACATTGGGCTGCAATGATATATGGATTAGAAAATTAATGTTTGTGGCAAAGACTCAATTCCTTTAAGTTTTATAATTTGTTTGGAATTCGAAACTATTGCAAAATAAAATGAAATTATAGATGTTATTGTAGGTAAAATCAAAGAGAATAGAATATATATTTGAGTGGAATTTACTAGAAAAAAGTGTAAAACGGCCATTTTGTTGTACTGTGTCCATACTGCAGGTGTACCTCACATATTTGTGCTATATAACCTTTTGGGCCCTGGAACATCATTTTTTAGAAAATCTATAATTAATATTAAAAGAAAACCAAATTATGAAATAGGCTGTTTTCATAATTGACCAATGATCATTTCGCATAGACTCTATGCCTTTGACTTTACAAACGATGATTTTCCGTTATAACTATAAATCAAATGATGTTTTTTATTCACCTAATTCATTTTATAAAGTTTATTTCACAGCTTTAAAAAATTCGATTATGAAATGGATAGTCTATAGAAGATACTGTATTAATGTACTCTACAGCTTATAATTTGTGAACCTTTACATGAATTGTACATTTTGAACTCCCTTTCAGGCTGAAAGGGACTGAGAAAATTCATACCGAGGGATTGTCTAAATTCCACTCTAATATATATTCTATTCTCTTTGGCTAAAATTGGGTTTAGCAACCATTTTAATAAACTTTAGTTTTAGATGAAATATTTCAACCTGAAGAAGATAAAAAGCAAGTGAAGGAAGAGAAAAAAGAAGAAAAAATGGAAAGAAAGACCCCCCATGAAAATATGAAAACGGTGGTGAGAACATATTTCATCGAGTTCAATTTGCCGACAGGGTTTTTAATTAATTGCAGAAAACACGCCAAAAAAATGCAAAAAATGCAGTTATGATGCACGCGAACCCATTTAAAACCATAGTAGGACTATTTATATTTTAACAACACTAACTGGAGTAACCGGCGTTGTCCAGGTATATATCATTAATAAACACAATCGTAGTTAATCCCGTCGTTACGGTTTTAGCTGAAGTGCTTGGCGTTGCCAGTGGAATTTCCTAATTTGCCTATTTACCCAGGGGTACGCATGGGTGTCCTTACAAAAGAAAGTTTTTTTCAGCCGTTTAGCCAGCCATAACGTACAAATATACATATATATATATATATTCCAGCCGCTTAGCCAGCCATAACTAACAAATATATATATATATATATATGTATATTCCAGCTGCTTAGCCAGCCATAACGAACAAATATTTTTCAGTTTTATGGGGAACACTGTATAGTTCTTTCATTTTGAAAAATATTACCATATATGCTGCAGTTGTGTCGATGTTTTTATGGGATTTTTAAATTGTGAACTGTTTATTTTACCCAAGTATCCCGCAGTGATCCAAAGATTGCAAGCTTTAACGCAAAAGATCGATGAGAATTTTGCCAATTACTTCTTTCACAAAAGTTAAAAATTCTTAAAATTTCTAAAATGTACATGTTTAGTGCTTCAAAAAAGTGAATTATTGAGGCAGAATTAATGCAACCTTAAATTCGACCAACAAAAAAAAATGTTATTTGTAAAAAATCAATTTGTGAAAAGTCCAGTATTGTCCAAGAAATCTAGTATTAAAAATGAAAGTGCATCTGTTTGTTAAAGAAATTGAGTCTTTGCCACTGACTCATTTGTTTTATTTAACAGAACTCATTGACAATGGGTTGCAAATATATGGGAAGAAGAAAATCAGCTTTTGTAGCGCAAACTTGATTTCTTTCTGCTTTTTAGGACAAGCTATCACAGGATGCGGATGATATTAAAAATGTGTATAGTATTAAGGTTTGTTAATTTTAAAATGAAAAAAACTATATTTCAGAATATTTTTTTAAAACTCTTTTGCGTTTACTGTAAATAAGCAAACATAAATAAATAAACAAAATATATATATATACAATTCTTCTAAATCTAACACTCTCAGATCCGTGAAACAAAAGCTCTTAACCATCTTCGGGGCATATTCTAAAAAAAATACAAAATAAGAAACTTGAATAATAGATGTTTGAACTTTAAAAGAATTAAAATTCATATAAATATATTTATATATCAATCCAGAAATATCAACAATCTTTGAATTTTTCAGATAAGAGATATAGAACAGGAGATAGAAAAATGGTTTGTTCATCTAGAATCTGTGAAGCAAGAAAGAGACGAAAAGGTTGATTTTCTTACAATTTAATCAATTTAGTTTGCTGTTGGGACATTTCACTTAGAAAACATTGGGTTTCCAAATCATTTTCAAATGTTGACAAATCTTTCTTCGAATTGGCGCAGACAGACAAATAACAAACTGGAAATAGATTTTGTATGCGTGAGCTTTTGCCCACAACCCTTATCCAAAAATAAATTATTAAAGTTAAAAAATAGATTTCATATACATAGAAAAATTTGCAAGGTTTGATTACATTAAAATTACTTACAAAAAAGTTCTTTTCAGACAGTGTTGTGGAATACAAAAGACAAATTTTATTCTCATGACTATATTTCGTATAATGTATTTTTAGAGAAAAAATTGACATAAACTCAATGTTTTTGATTCCCATATTTTTCAAACCTGATGGTGTAAACCTTTGATATTTTAAATCACGATAATTCGATCAAGCAAAGTATTAGTATAAGATCTACAAAGATATAAGGATTAGTAAATTAGAGTATTTAAAGAACCTTAATGTTAATTGGACTATTTATAAAATGATAACTTAAAATGTGACCCAAACAGCTCACTGTGTTTTATTCTAATAGTTTAACCTAAAAATAATTGATTGATTTTTATATTTTCAGATTTACGAAATAGAGGAACAGATAAAAGCTTTGCTGATAATATAAAAATTAAACTACGCCATGTCAATTTAAATCTTTAAATAAAAGCATAGAAACTGCTGGATCTTAATTCTTTTCATCATTTTGTTTATTTTTGCTTCTTTTATTTTTTTTTCAATGAATCATAATTATGTAAAAACTGTTTCAGGTTTTCTAACAAAAATTTCGGAGATTGAGAAAAGAAAAACTAAAAAAAAAATTCATATGCTGGATCCGTATTCATTGTTTAAAGAACGGATACAGGATCCGTATAATCTATTATTTTACAGAACGGATCCAGGATCCGGATCCGGAAGCGCAGAAAATGAAACGGATACTATGCAATGCATTTTTTATTTGGAATTTTTGGAAATTGATATTTTAAATATTTGTGACAATGCTCTTAATTAAAGAAAAACGCACTCTGTAAATCTGTAAATCAGAACAGTTAATCTCAGCACTGGTTTATTGCTACAATTATCATGTTTTTCAGTAGACAAAATGTAGACACATTGTTTTGCCTTTTCTTTGTTCCTTTGAGAGAAATCTTTGTAAAATGTTGCTGCAGCAAATGCAATTCAATCAGAATACCTTATTCTTCTTCATGTTCCTAACAACCTTTCATTCAACTCAAGGTTAGAGATGTGCAACCTTTCATTCAACTCAAGGTTAGAAATGGGTAACCTTTCATTCAACTCAAGGTTGGCGATAAGTAACCTTCCATTCAACTCAAGGTTAGAGATGAGTAACCTTTCATTCCACTCAAGGTTAGAGATGGACAACCTTTCGTTCAATTCAAGGTTAGAGATGGGTAACCTTCCATTCAAATCAAGGTTAGAGATGGGTAACCTTCCATTCAACTTAAGGTTAGAGATGGATAACCTTCCATTCAACTCAAGGATAGAGATGGGTAACCTTTTATTCAACTCGTGGTTAAAGATGGACAACCTTTTATTCAACTCAAGTATAGAGATGGGTAACCTTGCATTCAACTCAAGGTTAGAGATGGACGACCTTCCATTCAACTCAAGGTTAGAGATGGGTAACCTTTTATTCCACTCAAGGTTAGAGATGGGTAACCTTTTATTTAACTCAAGGTTAGAGATGGGTAACCTTCCATTCAACTCAAGGTTAGAGATGCATGCCAACCTTCCATTCAATTCAAGGTAAGAGATGGACAACCTTCCATTCAACTTATGGTTAGAGATGGGCAACCTTTCATTAAACTCAAGGTTAGAGATGGGTAACGTTCCATTTAACTCAAGGTTCGAGATGGGTTACCTTTCATTTAACTCAAGGTTAGAGATGGGTAACCTTTTATTCCACTCAAGGTTAGAGATGGACAATCTTTCAATAAAGAGAAACTTTGAACGTAATTCCATAATATGATTTTTTTAAAGCTTAGATGGTTGAGTGAGTTGAGTTGTTGCCACAAAATATGATTTTCTAATCCCTTTATCTTTGAAACACGATGATTTAGACCCTTGATATATTAATTCTGATAGATCACATAGTTCGAAATATTAAAGGTCTACACCATCAGGTGGCAAAGATAAAGGGATTAGAAAGTTTAAGTTTGTCACAAGAACACTGTTTCTGTTACACACAGATTCTAGATAAAAAGAAACAACTATAATCAGACGAGGAATGGGGTGCAGACTAGAGCCACCATGAGCCCTACGAAATGACCAACGCTCCGTCCTTTTCTACGCAAAAAAAACCATCAAGCTACTTCTTCATGCCTCCTCCCCTCCCAATCCTCCCGTCCACCCCCCCCCCAACTTTTCGACTAGATTGATTCAAGGTGAATTAAATCATTAAATCTGTCGTTTACGTCAAATATACAGATTGGTTAAATGAAACATTAAGTATTTTTCAATATTCAAACATCTTATTTTATCATTAATTTATGAAAGATAAATTGAAAAGTTTCGTAAAAATAGAAAGCTTAATTAAAAGATAGAAAAAGAGGAAGAAATTTAAAAAGAAATTTAAAAAATAAATAAATATAAGGAGGGCTAGAAAAAAGATAGAAAAAAGAAAATATTAAAACATAAAAACTTTTCCGTCCGCGCTTTCCAAAAAAAATTCATTAAATAAATAAATAATAAAAAAAAATTCTGATAATTCAAATATCTTTTTTCCTGCTTAAGTCAGTTTTGTAGAGAAAGCACTGATGATTTTGTTGCTATTTAATCTGACAAAATGTCCGATCTCACTCTGAGTACCGCTTTTACCGTTTTTAATTGGGCATTGCATTTAAAGTTCCTTTAAGAGCCTAAACATGATTAAAAAATAAAATTATGAAGTATGACAAGGTGTTCAGCATTTATCAATGCCCGGCGGACCCAAAATGAATATTAAATTGTAAAAGTTCAGGGAATATTAGTTCCAAAACTAACACTTGGCCCATTTCTAATACTGAATGTTAGAAATAGGCCAAATCTGCAAAGTTATCTTTTTCAAGAGTATATATCTTTAATTCCAAGATGAGTAGCAAAATTACACCATATATTTATAAAAAATTGCTAAAACTATATATTGAAACGATCAATGTAAATTTTAAACAAGTAATAAGGTGTGAGAATTAGTTTTTGATGATTCTTGATTTCTTTTTTGAACAAATCCCTATTTTGAAACAAGTACCGGATTTCAACTCACGTTAGTAAATAAAATTATTTAACATTAATAAATAAGGTTATTTGAAGTTAATAAATAACATTATTTAACGTTAATAAATAACATTATTTAATGTTAACAAATAACTTTTTTTACAAATTCCGCCCAGAGAGAACTGGTTTCAATATGTAAACAGAGTATACGCGACCGAAATCAACTCTCCTTGCATTAGGTCCTTTCACAAATTCAAGTATTTCCCAAAAACTATTTTGTTTCCTTTTGGTGGATTTAGTTTGATTCGTATAAGATACACAAGTAAAATAATATAAAAGCAAGGAATAGGAATAAGGAAAGGAAATGGCGCTGGTCTGGCATGAGAAATCCAGTCGCACTGCTTTGCAGACCAGTACGGTAAACTTTACACACATTCTTTTGGTACAGACACACACACTCACTCAATCACTCACTCACTCACTCACATGACGTTTCCGCCCCCTGTGCAATAGTTATTCACAAATTGTGAAATTTAGAAAACAAAAATAATAGACTTTTCAAAACAAATAGTTCATTAAAAATTATTTTATCATGTTGAGATTATTTACAAAAAAAATATTTTTGGATGTAAAAGTCAAATACCTTTAATTGTAGATTAAACTGAGAACCATGCATGAAACAAATTTATTTTCTAAACGTTCTAAATTTTAAGCTAAGTTAAGCTGAATTTTAAAGAATGTTTGCAGTTTGCTCTGGTAATATTGTCCAATGGGTAACTATATATTATGATGGGGGGGAGACCCCCCCCCATTCAAAAAACTTTATTAATGGATACAATATCATGTTCCTAGGGTTGTTAGCCGATAAGAAAAATTATCGTTTTTCGTTTCGTTTTTTTTTTAAAAAGAATCATTTCGTTTTTGAAAAAACCGATCATTTTTAAAAACGAACCACTCGTTTTTAACCGTTAAAAACAATCGTTTGAAAAAAAAATCCCAAATGATAAGGTTATGAATGTTGTCTTATATGTTTTTTTTTATCGAAACAAATAATATTTATATTCTCTGACCTCTTTTTTCTCTTTAAAAGGTCGTTAACGATCGTTAACAAAAGGTCTTGATTTTTGTAAAATTTTGAAAATGTGCGAAAAAATATTATTAAATTTGCGAATTTTCTTTTATTATTGTTTTATGCTGTACAAAGCAAAGATGCAATTACAGATAGAGCCCTAAAAACCGTGTACACATATATATATATACTTTGCTTGGGTGTTTTTTTGTTTGTTATTAAGTTAAAAAAACTCACATGATCCCAGAGAATATGTTTATGGATGCTCAGAATTTCAAATTTGCGTCGTCAAGACAATTTGATTTTAAATTTTTAAAATCTAGGAAAAACAGGATGATATCCACACACTTTTTCTTTTTTTGTTTAAAAGAATAAGAGCAGTGTACTTTAAATATTTATCTCCTATATCTATATTTTTGCTCCCTAAATCTGATATATGCATATTTATGATTTGTTGATATGTGAGGGTGCTTTCCGGTCATGCAATTATACAAGAGCAATGAAATAAATAATTTCACAAATTTGTTACTTTTTCAATTTGTCTTGGGGAAAATGTTCCAAAAACTCACTGGCCATAACCTTACGGCTTTAAATTCACCGTCAAGCAGTTGACAGCCTAACCTAAACTTTAGGAAGTTGCCGCTCGGGAAATTGTACATTTGGGAAGTTGCCACTTGGGAAAATGCCTTTAGGAAATTGTACCTAACACCCCCTCCCCTCCTTAGTTCTTCCCACTTTTAGGATTTCTAGCAAACATATCATTTACTCATGCAGATTGTATATATATATAGATGTGTCTATATGTATATATATATAATAAAGGGTTATTCAAAAAGGATGAGACATCAGAGAGACGATTGTGCGGAACTTGTTTAGTCCATTTCTTGCATTCAGGGTTCCTTGTTGGCAGAAACAGGCTTTTTTTTCAACGTTTAAGAATTCCGGCAAAAATGCTAGGATAAATTATGACGGAGGGGGGGAGGCAGCATGCATAAACTATTTGTGTTATCAGGAGGGAGGGGGGAGGGCAGCATGCATAAACTATTTGGGTTGTCAGGAGGGAGGGAGGACAGCATGCATAAATTATTTGTGTTGTCAGGAGGGAGGGGGAGGGGGCTGCATGCATAAACTATTTGTGTTGTCAGGAGGGAGGGAGGACAGCATGCATAAACTATTTGTGTTGTCATATATGATGTATGAAGGTGTCAAGGCTCTCACATAATTTAATTTTAAAATGAATTTAAAGGTTTTTACAAAAAACAATAGAATTTTTAGTTTCAATATTAAAGATTCTTAACTTGGGAAACATCGTTAAATATTTAGCCTGCAAACAGTAAATAAATACTCATTTAATTTGTCATTAGTAAATACTCATTTAATTTTTCATTAGTAAATACTCAATTT